AGAAATATATAAATAGAGGTGGTAACCTTCGTTCGTTATTTCTGTTTAAAAGCTATTTCAGTCCTCTTTCATTTGATACCAAACTTGTTTAATTTGGAGAAGCGGTTTGTTTATTGTCCGGAAAAAAACTTTCGGAATAAAAAATATTAGGCCAAGTTTAACTGTTTAACTGTAAAATAACTGTTTCGGTCCCTGGAATATTATGCAAGTGCAATGATAAAACGTATATCTGGTCAGTCACAGAAGAAAGGATCAAAAATGAATTACAAAAACTAAAATCGAAAAACGCTGTTGACGTTACTGGTTCTCCACATTCAGAAACAACCAAAAGAGTGAGAATGAAGAATTCTTTGGAAAACAACGGTGTTTAATCAACGATCTTGCTATGATACTAGATTGTTAAGATGAAAGTCAGGAGGATACATACGACATTTGCAGACCGATGCAATTCCCAAAAACGAGTAATTGCACCGCAATAAAAAAAATAAATATAACTGAAAGTCCTCTCGACTGGTGCAGCGTCAATCAAGAAGAATTTACAATTTTGTCAAGTTTCAAGTTTTTCGCAGCGAGCGAGTAGTTATTTAGTGGCGCAGGTTTGATTTACGACCCTTTAAAAACATTTTATTGAATACAATGTTCCAATTTTTGAATTCAAGTACTAAAAAAACCTATTAAAAATTACTAACCTTTCCATTTTTTTTTTTTAAATAAATCACCTAATTTACTCACCTAAATTATTTTTTAACAAGTAAAAAAGTCTAAGATCGGGCGGAGCCGAACACATTAAAAACCCGGCGCAAGTATTCAATATAGTTTTTTCACCTNAAACCAAAATAACGACTATTATATGAGTGCATGACTGTGAATTTGACAGAATCAGCTGTGTGCGTGACGTCATCCTGGTGCAATTGTTGATTGAAGAAAACCAAATAACGATTTAACTGGGAACGGTTTAGTTATTTGCCCAATGATTTGGGACTATTGTGGCCGAATGGGTGACCCGGTCAAACAAATTTTACACACACATATGTAGCCAAGAGTCTACACTCTACACTATGAAACCCATTTTTGTAATTTGAGGTCACTAACTTATTAATAAATGCGGTCTGAAAAATACACATTTTGTGAATTTCGGAGTGAGTTCTACGCAAATAACAGACATGTCTCGAGGGATCAGGTGTGGCTCTTTACAAAGTGTGGACTGTGCTCTTTCTAGTGGGTTAGATATCAAGACCCACGCCCAATCCCACTCCGCCCACTAACGCAAAAACAGTGGGCAAATAGCTAAATATTTCCAATTTAGCTATTTGTGCGTTAATATTTCTGCGTAGTCGTGCACAATTTTTGAAACATTACAAGGCAAAATAAAGTCTGCAGAGGCAAATTGTAAACATCCGGCATATGCTAAAAATCGTACTTAACTAAAGGGCTACATGCCCAAAATCATTGCTACATGTTCCTATTTAATTAAACTCCGTATATTTCTTAATTCCTGCAAAATTGGACAATTTAATATTGATATTAACACATTTTTCCGCATTGTTTACATATTTTCCTATGGNACAATTTAATATTGATATTAACACATTTTTCCGCATTGTTTACATATTTTGCTATGGGTTTTGGCATTTCTCTCTCGCAATTGCACCAAGATGACGTCATGCAAAAATTACGCTCAAAAATCCTCTCTGATGGGCGCAATACAAGAATGATAGAATACAAAGATTGCGCCGATAGGGGTTCTGCGCATCTACGTCACAATATCAAAGTTGTTGTTGGCGAGCTGTCAAAACGCATACAATTTCTACACAGAAATGTAAATATTGCACACAATTTAGTTAAATAACTATAATAAAACAATTCAAGTGCAATTTACTGAATCGAGGCGAAGGTAAATATATTCTTAACTCATTTCGAAACAAAATCTTGAATATAATTTTATTGCAGGCAGCCAGTAGTCCATTGAAATGGAGCTGGCAAAATTTTTGAAGCTGGGAGCAGCGATTTTCTTGTGCGCATGATTTTCAGGTTTATGAAAATGTGAGTAAGACTCATTAATAAGCTGTGTACTTAAAATAACAATATATTTACAATTGCAGAGTGAGCAGAAATTTATTCCATCATTCTTGGGCGCAATATATTTTTGTTCGTCTCTATACAAGATTAAAAACAATAATCTATTCTTTGATAGATTGTCACATTGTGTAAAATATTTTTCTTCATGTACATATGTATGTGTATGAATGCGAATTACATGATTTTTCGGTTATTGAAAATAATAAAAAGCAATGATGTGAAGCCAAATAGCATTTTTTTAGGTTTTTTCTAACTTGATACTTAGATACTTAAATAAAAAATTTGTGATACATTTGATCCATTTTTTGTTTCTTCTACGATACATTTTTTCATGTCGTCACGGCAACACTGCTTGTATTCTATCATTCTTGGTACATATCTACATAGTTATGTATGTACATATGTGTTCTAAAATGGTTAATCAAGTTAAATGGCAACTCTCTTCGACTGATAAGAGCAGAGAAAAGTAGCGAACAACACCAATGCTCTCTGGGAAAATTACATTTGAGAGCAATAAAAAGAGCTCAGTCGGTGTTCAGTGGCATCTTGTTCAGTCAGTGCTAAAGTGAATGGAGCTGAAAATGCATTGGTTTTACTAGGCTCCTTACGTGATTATTGTTTACAAATAAATATTTCGTTTCATAACTCGCATTTTAGAGAATTCGCTGCTATAATTATTGAAAGATTTTTGTTTGAGAAGCTCCACTATGATTAAATGTGTTACTAGTTGAAGTGTAAGTTTTATTAATTCATTACACTAGCTAAAAAAGCGAACTCGATGCAATAAAATACATGCCTACAAGTGCGTTTTTATATATTGATGTATGCACATGTTTTTAATAACATACACACATATGTATAAGTATGTACATAAGTATGTTGATGAAAGTAGAAGAATGGCTTAACGATTTTACTTATGTATATGCATACATATAATGTATACATATATGTTTCTGTATATGCATAAGTACATGCTTATGTGGGTTTGTAAATACACACGTACATATTTGTATGTATGTATGTATGTTTATATTGATGTATTCCTATGTGTGTACATGCGTGTGATGTGTTCTGTGCAAAGTATGCTACAATTAAATTTGTAAGAATGTGCCTTTCTTCTGCCTGCTGTGACATTCCAAAGACAAATATTGATTAAATTTGATTTTTATTAAGTTTGCATGTGAATAGGTATGTATGTATGTATGTATCTACATACATTCTGATTGGTAAAGTTACTTAATTAAGAATTAATTCCAATTAAATAATTACTAATACATACATACATATGTATGGTAAAATGTGTCCACAGAGCAAAAAATAATTTTTTTGTTCCTGTCATTAAAAACTCAAAATGAGTCTCTTAGTTATTAACCGGAAAGTATGGCTTCTTATATGTATGTACATATGNATACACACATATGTATAAGTATGTACATAAGTATGTTGATGAAAGTAGAAGAATGGCTTAACGATTTTACTTATGTATATACATACATATAATGTATACATATATGTTTCTGTATATGCATAAGTACATGCTTATGTGGGTTTGTAAATACACACGTACATATTTGTATGTATGTATGTATGTTTATATTGATGTATTCCTATGTGTGTACATGCGTGTGATGTGTTCTGTGCAAAGTATGCTACAATTAAATTTGTAAGAATGTGCCTTTCTTCTGCCTGCTGTGACATTCCAAAGACAAATATTGATTAAATTTGATTTTTATTAAGTTTGCATGTGAATAGGTATGTATGTATGTATGTATCTACATACATTCTGATTGGTAAAGTTACTTAATTAAGAATTAATTCCAATTAAATAATTACTAATACATACATACATATGTATGGTAAAATGTGTCCACAGAGCAAAAAATAATTTTTTTGTTCCTGTCATTAAAAACTCAAAATGAGTCTCTTAGTTATTAACCGGAAAGTATGGCTTCTTATATGTATGTACATAGGTCCCGAAAATTCCGGGATTCTTGGCAAATAATACCGGGATTTTCGGGATTTGTAATTTGCACTGATGGCAATAATAGAAACTCCTTTTCTTCACCAGTATTGGCTTTATTAATTTTTTTAATTTAATAATTAATATTTTTTACGTAGAATACGTCTTACGTTTCGATATGGAGGCTATGCTCAAATGCTGTAGTTGTAATTTTTAGAGCTTCACGAAAACGCTTATTGCACGAGAACTAGTGAAGCGATTTCAAAGAAGAGTACGCCGTTCCCAAGACAAAATTCCAAACCTATCGACAGATACATTTATGTAAGTAACCGATTCGGTGTCTGTTGTAGAAACAGCTTATTTTGGGATCAATTTTGAGCCTTTAAAGCGCTCTAGCAGCTTATTATTGGCAGATATATAACTTTCAATTTCGGGATATAGGTTCTTTGGAGCAGAAGAAATATTTTCGTGTACAAATTTTATATAAATTCATCAAATATCGAGCATTTAAAGGCAAAAAAATTTTGAAAAAATTTGCACATTTTTTTTTAATACCAAAATGCTCGAAAACCGCTCCAAAGATTTTGTTTTTGTTTTCTTTAATCAAAAATTCAGGTGTTTTCGTTCCGTTTGGTATATGGGAAGTATTGGTTGATATCTTCTAAGTATGTTTATTTTATTCAAATATATATGGGCATAAATGCTTTTCCATACAAAATCACTTCGTCTTCAGTTTGCAAACACGTGCATGTGTAAAAACAGTTAGGTGCTCGCAGAGACAAAAGGATACCAAAAACAGATTGCGCAGGTGAGGGGAAATATGTTTAAGCTGATCGCAGCATATTTCGCACATGTGCCTACATATTATATTATATTATAGATATGTATATTCCTTATACATATATACATACATACATATGTATGCATATATACATACATACATATATGTATGCATAATACGCGAAAGCTTTTTGTCATATCATCAGATCTGTAATGTTAAATCGATTTTAAAAAATGAGGTATCAGATTAAAGAACTTGGCCTGTAGATGTGCAATAGCTTCTTATTTTTTCAAAACGAGTTGCCACCTGATAAAAAAATTAAATTCAAATTATTTTTAAGTTAAATCAATTATTACACTATGAGTATCGATCCAAATGGTTTTGAAAAGGCTTTATTTCTTAATTACACATATGTAGGAGGGTTGCTACCTGTTCGCAAGTTCGTATTAAATAAAGGCAGAAAATTGAAATTTATATCCTGATATGGATATCAGACGAAAGAGGTTGTGGTTTGAAAATATTTTGAATAGGGTTGCCAGCTGTTTCAAAATTAGAATTTAAATAAAGTATCGTTACGATTATCCTCGAAACCTTGAGGGATTTCCCAAATATCCTACGGATCGTATCGCTGGATTGTTAAATAAATGCTCACGATGACCAAATTGCAGTACAATTAACTTTATTGTACAACAACAATTTACAATACTCGCTAAAACAGTAAAAACAATTTACAATACTATTTAAAGCAATTACAACGCTTTACAAAACTGGTTAACACAAACTTGCTTATTCGCAACTCACTTTACTTGTAGCTTGCTGACTTGTAAATAAATCTCCTAGCTGTGTGGTGGCCCTTATATACCTGCGCTTGATATCATGGCAACTCTAGAATGTTCTGAAGTTCATCGCGCATTCCCTTTCTCTCGCTGTTCGCAGTGTTCATCCAACTTGACGTTTCTGATTGTGGAACATTCTACTTCATTCCTCGAACATTCTGCCTATTTCTTGTTGTTCGCTTCGCGTTGCCGCAGTATTCGCCACACTGCCCTCCACCTAAGTCTGATCGTCCCGATCAGACACACTTGCTGTTCCAAACGCTGCAAGCCTTTCCAAGTGGACCACCTTCATCTTGTTTCTTGGTCTCCCAACGGTCTGGATTCGATACACTACGTCATACAGCCGTTTGTCGACCTTATACGGACCTTCGCAGTTGCATTGTAGTTTTGGGGACAAACCTTTCTTCCGTTGTGGATTGTACAGCAACACTAAAACTCCCTCTTGGAAACCTTCGGAGTTCATTGCCTTATCGTACCTGGCCTTCATCTTGTCACTCATAATTTGAGTTCGCTGCCTCACAGGAGCATGTATCTCTCTCAGCTCCTCTTCCAGGATGTTGGACGTCTCTTTCCCGATTCTCCTTGCATCGCCAGTTACTCCAAACTTCAGATCACTAGGCAAACGGAGCTCACTGCCGAAGATTACCCTTGCAGGAGTTTTACCCGTTGTTTCATGCACTGCTGACCGGTATCCCATCAGGAACAAGGGTATGCGGACATCCCAATCTTTCTGATTTTTGTCCACGACCTTCCGCAAATGCTCTTCCAGGGTTGGGTTGAACCGTTCCACCATGCCATCTGATTGGGGATGAAGAGCCGTTGTTCGAGTTTTCCGGATACCCAGTTGGAACACCGCCGATTCAAAATTTCTTCCCTAGTCAGAGTGCAGCTCTTTACTCCGCTACTGTTTTAGCTTCCTGGTTTGGAATCGGGTATACCTCCGGCCATTTGCTAAAGTAGTCCATAACCACAAGGCCGTATTTTTTCCCTGTGCGCTCAAAGGAAATGGACCTGCTACATCCATGGCAATCCGCTCGAATGGTGCACCTGAATTATAGTGCTTCATCTGGCCATGACTTCTGGATTTCGGGCCTTTAGCTGCAACACACTCCACGCAGTTAGCAATCCATTCTGCGACCGATTGGCGACATCCAACCCAATATAACCTCTGCTTAATCTTCTCCAGGGTCTTCGTGATTCCCAGGTGCCCTCTACTAGGACCATTGTGGAATTCCTTGAGTACATCCGAAATTCTTACCCTTGGAACTACTATCAGGTTGCGGGAGCACTGGCCATCTTCGCTTTCCCATACCCTGTGCAAACAGCCAGATATTAATTTTAAGCTGTTCCATTGTGCCCAGTACGCCTTTGCGATGGGGCTTTCCGCTGCCATTTGCTCCTTAGTTGGCCTTGTGTCCACCTCCAGTCCATGCATCAAAAGCTCCAGATCTGGATCTTCCTGCTGACACTTTCGTAACTGTTCTTCCTTCCACTCTTCCGCTGGTGTTATTGTCGTCTCTCAATCCACCGAGCTAGTTGTCCTTCTGGATTCTTAAGTAGCCACTTCAGCGCTGCATGGTCCGTTCTAACTCGGAAACGTTGCCCATAGAGGTACTTGTGGAAATGTTTGACGCAGTCCACCAACGCTAGTAGTTCTCTCCGAGTTACGCAGTAGTTCCTCTCTGGTTTTCCAATCGACCGGCTATAGTAGGCAACTACCTTCTCCTGCCCATCAATTACCTGCGACAGTACGCCTCCTATGGCATAACCACTAGCATCCGTATCCAAAATAAACGTTGCACCTGGAACGGGATACGCTAGCATAGGTGCAGTACATAGTCGTTCCTTCAGAGTCTGGAAAGCCTCCTCCTGCTCCTTGTTCCACTCGAAGGCTCTATTTTTCCTAGTGAGCTCGTGGAGGCTATTAGCAACGCTGGCGAAATTCGGAACAAATCGGCGGTAGTAGGTGCATAGCCCAAGAAAACTTCGTAGTTCGTGCAGGTTCCTAGGTCTTGGCCAATCCTTTACTGCTTCTATCTTTTCCTTCGCAGTACAGATGCCCTCCGTTGTCACCTTGTGCCCTAAGTAGTTCACCTCCTTCCTGAACAGTGAGCATTTTTTAGGACTTAGCTTCAGACCAGCGCCAGCTATCCTCTG